GTTATTTTTTGTTGCAGTTTGGGGGGGCTGGATTTGAACCCTCCACCTTTGGTATATGGGGCTGGTGCCCTACTCACTGAGCCACAGGCACCGCCCCCCTGGCTATTTTTAGAGACAAAGTCTTCCTCACTGTGGTTAAGGCCATCTTGAAGTCCTCAGCTCAAGCAATCCACCTGTCTTGGCCTCCCAGGGTGATAGGATTACAAGCATGGGCCACTGTGCCTGGCCTCATTTTCTGTTGTTAATCTGTGTTTTGTTATTGGAATGTCAGCCATGATTGTTGTCAGTTGAAGAATTAGGGATGCCGCTAAATGTTCCCTCACAACAAATAATCATTTGGTTCCAATTTTCAGATTGGAGATTTAGTTAGGTGAGGAAGAGCTAGATCTCATTTCTACTTAAAATAGCAGGGTGTGGTGGCTCATGCCTGTAGTCCCAGCTACTCCAGAGCTGAGGTAGGAGAATCACTTGAACCCAGGAGTTTGAGTTTGTTGTCAGCAATGATGCTATAGCATTTTAACCTGGGCAACAGAGTGAGACTCTATCTCAAAAAAAAAAAAAAAAGAAAGAAAAGAAAGAAAGAAAATAGTGTCGAGATTTAGAAAACCTGTTGTAACTGCCAACTGAAACATGAAATGAAAGGAAATGAAAGGCTTTCCAAGGGTCTAGCTTTTATTTAAACTTCAGGTAAAAAAGCCTAATGGTGAGGGACGGAATGATGATGTGTGTCCAACTTCCCATGCCATCATGGCTAGAATTTCAGGAGGCTTTTTTTTTAGCTGGGGTTGGGCTTGAATCTACCACCTCCAGTATATGGGGCTGGCGCCCTACTCCTTGAGCCACAGGCCTCCCTGGAATTTCAGTGGTTTTTGGGTTTTTTTGCAGTTTTTGGCTGGGGTCGGATTTGAACCTGCCACCTCCGGTATATGGGACCAGTGCTCTACTCTTTTGAGCCACAGGCACCACTCTGGAATTTCAGTTTTTAAGTTTTCTCTAGGTTCCCTTTGGCCAAAAGGTGGTCCATTCAGTTGTAGGTGTGCTTTTTATTTCTCATAAACACAGCTGAGGCACCTCCTGTGTATGGATTGATCTAAGAAATGAGTGTAGCTGAAGAAGAGAGAAGAGCTGAGGTTTGTGGTTCTCTAATATACTGAAATAAGACTCCTGAGAAAGATAGGATAAGGAGCGGTTAGGTAGGGGGAAAGAATGCAAGAGTGTGATAATACCAAAGATGAAACAGTGTTTTAGGAAGGGAAGAAGGAAGTAATCAATAATAATAGCACCAAGTAACATTTATGGTGCCAGAAAATTTTCCAAAGATTTTAATTAAGCATTTAATAACTCAGTGAAGTAGGTATTATGTTTAGTGTAAGGATGCTAAAACTTATGCACAGATGTACAATGTTAAATGCTGGTGAAAAGTTAAATAATGTCTGAGATTTGACGATAGGGTGTTTTTTGTTGTTGTTGCTTTTGTTTTTGTTTTTGAGACAGAGTCTTACTCTGTTGCCCTCAGTAGAGTGCCTTGGCATCACAGCTCACGGCAACCTCAAACTCTTGGGCTTAGGCTTAAGCGATTCTCTTGTCTCAGCCTTCCAAGTAGCTGGGACTACAGGTGCCCACCACAACAACGGGCTATTTTTTTTTGGTTGTTTTTGTTGCAGTTGTCATTGTTATTTTGGCAGGCTTGGGCCAGGTTTAAACTCGCCAACCTAAGGTGTATGTGGCTGGCACCCTACCCACTGAGCTCCGGGTGCTGCTCTGACCATAGGGTTTGACAAAGAGGAAAATCTTGCTGACTATGATAAGAGAGATTTCAGAAGAATGGACTGATGGGAGTAGAAGTTTCATTGGTGAGGTTTAAGGAGAAAATGGGTGATCAATGTGGAGACATAAAATGTAGAAAATTTTTTGTCTTTGTCTTTTTTTTTTTTTTTTTGCAGTTTTTGGCCAGGGCTGGGTTTGAACCTGCCACCTCCGGCATATGGAGCCGGCGCCTTACTCCTTTGAGCCACAAGCACTGCCCCAGAAAATTCTTTCTTTCATTTTTCTTTTTTGTTTTTCTTTTGTGGTGACAGGGTTTTGCTATATTGCCGAGACTGGCCTTGAACTTCTGCCTTCTAGTAGCTGAGAGTATAGGCATGAGCCACCATAGCTGGCTCTTTGTTGTTTGTTTATTTATTTAACTTTTTTTTTTTTTTGAGACAGAGTCTCACTCTGTCACCCTGGGTAGAATGCATGGCATCACAACTCATAGCAATCTTAAACTCCTGGGCTCAAGAGATCCTCCTCCCTCACCTTCCCAAGTAGCTAGACTACATGCACTCCTCACAATGGCTGGCTAGTTATTCTATTTTTAGTAAAGACGGGGTGTAGTTCTTCCTCAGGTTGGTTTTGAACTTCTGAGCTCAAGGGATTCACTCGCCTCAGCCTCCCAGAGTGCTAGGATTACAGGCATAAGCCACCATGCCCAGCCTTGCTCTGTTTTTTAAAGAAGAAAAGAGATAGTAACCAAAGAACAACATGTCTGAAGAGGGTCATTTCTTTCCTTATTTATTTATTTTTTTTAAGATTAAAGATATGTCCGCAGTTTGTTTTGCAGAATAGTCTAGTACAGATCAAAAAACTTACTATTCAGGAAAATAGTTATATAACTGAAGAAGCAAAATACTTGGACAAGTGAAAAGGCTGGCCTTAGAACATTAGTGGTTTGCTCACTATAATAGGAAGGAAGGCAGAGAGTGGATAGCTACAGGAGCTAGTAAGGCAGGTAGATCCTGTACTGATAGGATAAAGTAATTTTATTCTAATTGTGTCCTCTCTCCCTCTTTTTTTTGAGACAGAGTCTCAGTTTATCAGCCTAGGTAGAGTTCTGTGACTTCTTCATAGCTCACAGCAACCTCAAACTCCTGGGCACAAGTGATCCTCTTACCTCAGCCTCCAAGTAGCTGGGACTACAGGCACCTGACACAATGGCTGGTTTTTCCATTTTTAGTAGAGATGGGTGTGGAGCTCCTGAGCTAAAGGGATGCTCTGGCCTTGGCTTCCCAGGGTGTTGTGATTACAGGTGTGAGTCACTGCCCCACCAAATTATCTTTTTTGACAGTGAAATATATAAAATCTAACATTGTCAGCTATTAATGAGGCAGAGGAAGAGAGTTGGTCTGAGGGGAGAGAAAACAGTGTGAAACAGTTGTTTAGGAAATAGCTGGAGGCTGAGATCCCACCCGGTATTTGTGGTTATAAATTTAGAGAGAGTTCAGGGAGAGCAGGGTGGGAGAGTGAGCATGAGAGTGAGTTTCCACTGGCATGAGCTTTTTGGAGATAAGATTTTTTTTTTTTTTTTGAGACCGGAGCCTCAAGCTATCCCCCGGGTAGAGTGCCGTGGCATCTCAGCTCACAGCAACCTCCCACTCCTGGGCTTAAGCGAGTCTCCTGCTTCAGCCTCCCAAGTAGCTGGGACCACAGGCGCCTGCCACAACGCCCAGCTATTTTTTGGTTGCAGCCGTCATTGTTGTTTGGTGGGCCCGGGCTGGATTCGAACCTGCCACCTTGGGTGTATGTGGCTGGTGCCTTAGCCACTTAAGCCACAGGCGCCGAGCCGAGATAAGATTTTTGTCACAGGAAGGAGGGGAAATGATCTTGAAGTTAGTTGCAAGAGATTAGGGAGAGAAATGTCATGTACTCCACCGGTGACACAAGAGATGTAGGAGAAAACACATTTGCTTCTAGACAGGGCTGCGGGGAAAGCAGTCCTCAAAGGAAAACCATGCTCCAGTTAAAATGGAAAGAAGAGGAAGGAAAAAGTGACTCAGTCGTCAACGTGCCAGCCCATATACCGAAGGTGGTGGGTTTGAACCCGGCCTAGGCCAAACTGCAACAAAAAACTAGCCGGGCGGGCGGCGCCTGTGGCTCAAAGGAGTAGGGCGCTGGCCCCATATACCGAAGGTAGCGGGTTCAAAAGCAGCACCGGCCCCAAACTGCAACCCGCCCTCCCCCAAAATAGCCGGGCGTTGTGGCGGGTGCCTATAATCCCAGCCACCACTCTGGAGGCTGAGGCAAGAGAATAGCTTAAGCCCAGGAGTTGGAGGTTGCTGTGAGCTGTGTGATGCCACGGTACTCTACCAAAGGCGATAAAGTGAGACTCTGTCTCTACAAAAAAAAAAAAAAAAAAGTTAAGGGTGGGGATTTTGTTGATGACTGTATTTCCAAAGACACAATACAGTAGAAGTCTTTGGAGCACCTGGAAGGGGCGGAGGGAATTGGGTCAGACTAAGTAATGTTTAGAGCTGTATCTGCATTAGAATCTGCAAAATTAGAATATGAGTGGTGTCTGAGGTAAATAGGGATCAGCCTTGATTGTGTTTTATTCTTATTTTGGGGGGGTAGTTTTAACATTTTTGTTTAATGGATAATTTAAATGCAGTAATATTCACACTTAAATGCATAGTCCTACTGAGTTTCGACAAATGTAGTCACTACCATAGTCAAGGTATAATTGTTCCAACATTCCAACAATCTCCCGGTGCTCAACTCTTCCCCACCCCCCAGTCCCTGGCAACTACCGATGTGTTCTGTAACTAGTTTTGCCTTTTCTGGAATGTCATAGACAGTATATAACTGTTTCAATGAAAAATAATGAAAATGATTAGACTGTTTAATTAGGCATCATAATAAAAATCTTGGTCTTGAAACAGACAAAAATAAGTGTCTTCAAGTTACTGGGAAATATCTTGTTATTAAATGGTATGCATAAAAGATGCACATTTTCGATTTCCCGTAGTCATTGAGAATTGAGCTTGATATTTAAAAGGGTAATAATGTTCCCCAAATCTGTGCATTTTCACACCAATCTGCACACTTTACATAATTTGTTCTAAGGGTACATTAAACAGACATTTTCAGAGGACCGAAAAGGGATTTTTATCCCACATAGAAGACCCGCCCGCTAGCGATTGCAACGTTGTGCACATGCGCGACGCGACCGTTGGCTGTAGAAATGCGCAGGCGCGTCGCTCAGGCGGCCCGGGCGGAGGGGCGGGGCTTGCTGGGCGTCTCTTCTTCCAACTGCAGCTTGTAGCAGCGCCATTTTGAAAGTGCGGTTGCTGCGGGCGTGAGTCGGAGTGGGTAGGGCTGCCTACTCGCCTTTCTCGCCATCACCTGACTTTTCTTACTTGGTTTCTAGAAATATACGTTGAGACGCATACGTATTATAGACCTCGGCTTGTACCCAGTAACCCAGGCGAACTTCTTAAGATGATGTTAAGAGGAAACCTGAAACAAGTGCGCATTGAGAAAAATCCGGCCCGGCTTCGCGCCCTCGAGTCCGCGGCAGGAGAGAGCGAGCCGGCGGCCGCAGCGGCCATGGCGCTCGCGCTGGCTGGGGAGCAGGCACAGCCCGCGCCCGCGCCCGCGGAGGACCACCCCGATGAGGAGATGGGGTTCACCATCGACATCAAGAGTTTCCTCAAGCCAGGCGAGAAGACGTACACACAGCGTTGCCGCCTCTTCGTGGGAAACCTGCCCACCGACATCACCGAGGAGGACTTCAAGAGGCTCTTCGAGCGCTACGGCGAGCCCAGCGAGGTCTTCATCAACCGGGACCGCGGCTTCGGCTTTATCCGCCTGGTGAGTATCGGACTGCCCGCATGAGGGAACAAAAGAGCGGTCGGGCCCCCCTTATCGTCTTGCGGCCTGTCACGGTCGCTGCGCCCGGCGCTCTCCTTTCCCCTGTGCGGGGTTGGCCGCTTTTCCCGCCCGGCATCGTCTGTGATTTCGAGCTAGCGGCCCCCGGGGCTTCCCGCATTCTGTGCTCTGCGGTGACCGCGGGCCTGTACGACGTGGGGTTGGTCCTCCCCGGGCTCAAAGCTGCCGGGGTACCAACGGGTCTGTGGGAAGGTGTGCGCGGCGTTGCAGGTTGAGAGTTTCTCCAGGCAAAGTAGTGTTGTAAAGGAAACAAATTGAATATGAATTTGGAACAGAAGCTACTGGACGTGAAGGACTAAATACCACATTTCTTAAACAATTACTTAGATCATCTCCCGGGTCTCAACCAGACTTGCTTATGTTTAACAGTAAATCACGTCTCGCCCCATTGTCGCCGGCTGTTTACCTGAAATTGCCTACGCGCCCAAACTCTGTACTCCATCGGCAAAATGGGAAGGTGTTGAATTGTCTAGTGTTTTTCTGCCCAGCATTCTGGGGAGGTTTCCTACATTTTTTTTTTTTTTTAAATTTTCCAGTATTTTATTAGGCAATTTTTCAAACATACAGTACAGTTGAAAGAATTGTACAGTGATCACCCACCTCATACATTTTATGATTTTTTTCTTCAACGTTTAGGAATTGCTTTGTAGGGACGCCACAAGTTTTGTGCCCCTCATTACAGTGATCCCAGATTCCCGTTGGCGGTGTTATAAACAGAAGCCATTCTTCAGGCTCCCTGTTCTGAGCACGTCTTTGGTTTCTACGTTTTTTTGATGATAAAAACAGTACTACTTTATGTATCACTTAAACATCTTGATATCATTATGGAATAATCTATATTTTACTCTCACTTAATCTAAATTTTGAAATTTTCCAATAACTTAACACAAAAGCTATATCTTGGTCTCAAATGATTCTCTTGCCTCAGCTTCCCAAGTAGTTGGGACTACAGGCGCCCCCCACAATTCCTGGCTTTTTTTTTTAGAGACGAGTTCTTGCTCTTGCTCAGGCTTGCCTGGAACTCAGGCAGTCTACTGGCCTCGGCCTTACAGACTGCTGGCAGTAAAGGTGTAATGGAGGGTACTGAAATGTCTGAACGTTTTTGTTAATATGGGAAAATCTTTTTTCTCATCTATAAAGCTACTAATAATTTTTTTCCTCTTTCAGCATGTCAGCACTCTCCAATAGAACTTTCTTCAGTGAAGTATGTATGTGCTGTTCAGTATAGTAACTATTAGATATACGACCACTGAATATTTTTTGAGTCAGAGTTGACAAGTCTTTGTTGGACAGCACAGCTCATTGCTTTCCTTTTTTCTTTTTTAGGCTTTCATTTTTAAAAATCTCTATAGAATTATGAAATGGGATAGGAGGATTGCTGTTGTCTATTCTTTGGGATATGCCCCTCCAAACTTATCACTCTATAATTTTTTTGTGTAGGAATATTAAAAATTTTAATTTGTTGGTTGAAATTAGGATTTACAGAATTTAACTTTACATATAATTTTCCACTTTAATCTGAGTTCTGTGAGTTACAGATAAACTTAAGTATTTCTGAGCTATTGTCATTATTTTTACTTGGGAAAATAATAGTATATTTGACCTGAATGTAAATATTGGCATAGTGGCTGAAGCCAGTAGTAATTTTGTAGTAGCTTTAAAAGAGTGGTGTAATTTTACTTGATTAATGCTTGTAGATTTTATTTTTTTTTTGCTTGTTCAATAACCTTTAAAATGCAAGGTTTTTTTTTTTTTTTTTTTTGAGACAGAGTCTCACCTTGTCCCCCTTGGTGGAGTGCTGTG